CGTTATCAATGAACGACTCATTTTGACAATAGTTTTGTTTGTTTTGTTTTTTGACATTTATTTGTTATTATAGACAACTGATTGTCCACTTTGTGGTCAATAAGTAGTAGTAGTAGTAGTGATGACAATGTTGTCCATCAGTGATGAGCACAAGGAGGTCATCATAAGGTTAGTGAACGACATCGTCAGCGACACTCCGCTCATCACTAATCTGACGGATCGGTCAAAAGTAAGCAACAAATTGGTTAAACTGATCCATTGGTTTGAAAGATCAGTCAACTCAGGTATATATATATCTTCTTCATTAGTCCACAACATTGGCTATCGATATCTGATTTGTGTCAAAACATTTGTCATTTTCTTCACTCTTCAGGCGCCCAAAGTTTGTCACTATTGAGATGTGTATCGTTTGAGGCTTTGATTGAGAACTGGCTTTTGGACTACTATTGCGAAGAGTCAGTAATGGACTCGTTTGACATCGAGGAAGGCATTGAACACGAGTTGTCCACCGCTGCTCTTCTTATACTTTATGTTGTCTACAAGTTTTCCGTTTGTTTTCCCCATATTGTCATGTATTTTAACGATAGTTGGCATCAAATGCAAGAATTTAACACTAAATTGGATCAAATGCTACAAACAGACAAAATTATACAACTATTATACCAACAAATTGATGACAAAACTAATGATAACGAAGAGAAAAGAGTACTTCCGATGAATGATTTGATTGGCAAGAGTGACGATTGCACTAATCAAAGACAATCACAGGTTTATTGCATTTTATCATTAATTTTTGATAATTGGTTAACCAATTGACCGAATTATCGTTATATTTTAAAGGGTAACGACATCTGTATGAATAATGGCTCTACAGATGCCAAAGCAAACAGACATGAAAACTATTCATCATTTCCATCAACATCGACAACAAATGAGACAATTATTTTGCCACAAGTTTTAGACATACCCACAGAAACACCGTTTAAAACAAATACCAACAATCAAACAACGAAACAGTTATTTGTCTGTAATTATTGTTACCGTTGTTTTCAATCAAATTATAAACTAAAGAGACATGAGTTTGTCCACAAACCTCAAAACAAACCGTTCACTTGTCACTGGCAGGGATGCGATCTACGCTTTCGGTCATCATTTGATATGAGACGACATATGGTCACCCATACCGGCGAACGACCGTTTAGTTGTAATATTTGTGACAAACGTTTCTCAAGAGCTGACAAATTAAAAGAGCATAAATCTATTCATTTGAAAAAATCAGAAGAATTGTTGGCTAAACAACAAATGGATGATGAGTTGCCACTTATCAGTGATAACAAAGATACAACAAATTTGATAATTAATTTTGAACCACATATTCAACAATCAATTGCCTTTTCTTGAAGATTTGACAACAAATTCATATTTTATATGAAGATAATACAATACAATAGTAATCAATTAGTAGGTCCAAGATTATCACCCCATGACGTCCATATCTTTAGTGACCAATTTTTTTCTAATAACTATCACTCATTTACTGTATTGTTTCTCAAGTGTTGACATGACATCTGTTTTTTATTTATTTATTTTGAATGAGTCAACCAAATACTTACCGTAAATGATTTAATTCTGATATATCGCTAATTTTATATTAAAAATTTAATTATATAACAGTTTTTAATAATTATGATGATGTCCATTTTTGGGTGAAATTGCAATTACATATATATATAAATATTATTTATAATTTCAAATCTATACTATTTTTATGATATTGCAATTATATGATTGAATGTTCAAATAAATCTCGGGTATAAAACTTTGTTTTATTATAAAAAATACTCTAATAAACATTTAATTTAATTAAATAATCTAATAATAAATTATAAGTATATCTTATTTTTATAAATCTATAATCCATAAAATTAAAAATGCTAAAAAATTGCTAAAAAATTATGAAACTGAAAATTATGAAAAATTGTTAAATACTTCATCAATTTCAATTAAATTAATTAATTATATACAGTATATATTTTTAGAATAATGTAATAATACAATATTATACTGTAATAACAGTATATTTAATATCTGAAATCGATAAAAAAACAATAAATAATAATAAATATATTTATTTCAATAACGATGTTATTTTATTATTATTTTTTTATTTTTAAAATTTCTAGATTAATTTAAAGTTTAATTATATAATATAAATAATACAGTATTTTGAAACAAATAATAATTATAATAATAACAATATTTAATATGATAACAATTAATATTACTGGTAATTATATTATAATATTCAAATATAACCTAATATAATAACTATGAAAATTTACAATGTGCAAGTTAAACTAAACAATTATTAATAAAACTAATTAAATTGTGAATTAAAAACATGAATTAAATTTTTATAATTATCTTAATTTATGGTTAATTTAATTATAAATAGTTTTTATTAATTTATAAATTTATTTCTTTATAGATATGATTTACAAAATGTTTGAAACATTTGTTTAACTTTATTTAAATTTAGAAAAGTGATTGTTTGAGATAATGAGCTCAATATTTGCTTATTAGTTATTTAAATATAAGCCATTTGTAAAATATTATTATTATTTTATTAAATTGTTAAATATATAGATAGATAGATAGATATATATTAATATAATTAAATTTATTTTTACATTCATTTAGGAAATTGTAAAAATTCATATATCTTTTTGATTTATTTATCATAAGATATTTTGATATGAGCTTCATTATTATAATAATTATTATTATTATTATTATTATTATTTGAAAAAAATGTGTTTGGATTTAACCAGTAATTGCCGATATATAATGATTTGAATGAAAATTATTATTTAATAATTACAGATATACATATATACTGCAAGTTATATTATATATATATTATTTTGTTGAATACGATAAGCATAATAAACGAAATATATTAGTGTAACTTATTGCCAAAAATGTAAAGCACTTGACACAATAATTATACTATTATTTTTTAATTAAAATGACTATAACTATCTGCTTGTTATAGCAATATATTTTTTTAAATAAATAAATTAATATAATAATAATAATAATAAATAACAATAATTGTGTGTTAATGTAATAATTATCCTAAAATTTAATACATCAAACTCATCATCAATTTAATTGTATTTTTTAAAAATTTTAATTAATCATTATTATTAAATAATAAGATTTTTGTTGTTATTGTTTTTGTAATAATTGTAATATTGATTACAAATTAATTCGTTGGTGTAATACATATGATATTTTATGAAACAACACAAACTAATAGCCATTAATTAGAGATTATCTCCAAAATTATTTGTCCTCTTTATTAGGTTCTCGTCTTGATTTAAATCCTCTAAACGTCGCCTGTATTTTAGTGGCCGCCTTCTCCACTTCGGGATCGTTGAGGTCAATGTCGGCCTATTGTTTTAGGTGGTGGTCACAGTTGTAATGGTCATCAGTCAGACATCGGCCAAACACAGAGAGGTGAGACACAGAGACATTGGGACAACAATTTTTTTGTGCAACAATTTTAGTGATTATTATATATATGGGAAGGAATGGGATTGTGATTGAAAAGAGAGAGAGAGAGAGAATGAGAGAGAGAGAGAAAGACATGAATGAGTTGTCAAACAGTTATACAAATATAATATTTAAAACAAACAATAATTTTCAAAGAAAAAAACATTCAATTCTTATATTTTTCAATTATTTTTGTTATCTTAATAATCGTCGTATATTTATGAATCAATTAATTTATAGACAGTATAGCATACAATTATCTAACTATTTTTAATTAAGAAATATAATATATTGACAATAAAACATTACACATACAATACAAGACATTAATTTATACATACAAGACATTACACAAACAAATAATATAAAACATGACAAATCCACAGATAAATGTCAAATAATCTGATTCAAGCAATTATAATATTATTTATTATAAACTTAAAATTTGTTTATTCATCATATAATAGAATCAATTATATATGACAATTCAAATAAATTAAATAAACAATTGTATTATTTATTTAAATTTAATATATACTGTATAAATAAACATAGATTAGTATCATATTATTGATAATAATTGCAATTTTCATGTACAGATACACAAGTTAATTATAATAAATGAAATAAATGATAATCAGTTTGCATTTTTAAAAAATCCAAATAAACTAATAATATACATTAACATTTTAGAGTATATACTGTGTATATATATAATATATGCTAAAATCATGCAATTTAGTGAATAATTTAATTTTTTAAAAAACGGAATGTGTGCTAAATTATCAAATATTATCTATAATAATAATAATAATTATATTATCAAATATCAAGTGAAATAATCTATTTATATAATTATTAATAATAAATCAATTTACAATAACAAACTTATTAAAACAACAAACTTAATATAAATTCAAAAATTTTTAAACCAACAACAAAACTACAAATGCAATTAAAAAACTAAATCAAAAATAAAATTTACTTTAAATATAATGTTATTTTGAAAAAAAGAAATGATATTACCATGATAATATGTATATATAAAATCATGGTATATATTATATAATATACGGTATACGGTATACGTTATACGGTATACGGTATACGGTATACGGTATACGGTATACGGTATACGGTATATAATATATCATTCATTGTCTAGTAATGTGTAGACATTTATCGATAAAATAATAATACTATTAATTATAATAATAAAAGTGATAAATATAAGTGAAATTAAATCAAATCTATTGATTCTTTACGAGTTCGTCAGCAAGTGTTTGGTCGCTATCCTTCTTGTCCTTCGGATCGTTGGTGTCATCACTTGATTCCGACTTTTGTTTTTTGATATCTTTGCGCACTTTATAGCCCTTAAATCCGGCCTGAATTGTGGTCGCGGCCTTATCCACGTCACCGCCAGTGTTGTTTGGACTCTATTTGTAAATATATAACAATTATTTAGCAAATAATAATAATTATAATAATAATAATAATCAATATTTTAATATTGATTGCCAATCAATCGATAATTTTTAATATTTGTTAGTATTGTCATTAAAAATAAAATATTTATATTATTAAAGCTATAGTTTTATGACACTTATTAAATAAAATGTCAATTATGTGTGTTACACTAAAATTGGATAATTTGCTAACAAAATATACACACAAAAATATATTATAAATTAGCAAATTTTTTATCAATGTATTCAATGGTTTCAAATAAAATGATTAGTTAAATAAAACAATTGTGAATAAAAATTTTTGTTGGTAACACTGACCATATATTTTTTAACTAAACCGTACCCAACCTAACTATAATACATTCAAACCTAACCCAAACCACACCTCAATATATATGTCTGTATTTCAATTATTTTAACAGTTAATGTCACGAGAATTGCATTTTTGTTGAAATAATTGTTATAATAACCGATTCAACAAACGACTTAAAATATTAATTCACATTTGAGACATACCTTAAAATAGATTTATATGATATATATATATATATATATTTTAAATAACAAAAAATATTTAGCAAATAATCCTTTTCTAAAAAAAATATATTGTTTAAACAGATCCACTAATACTAATAAAATAACTAACAAAAAAAACTGTTGGATAAATCAATAAAATATTTTGTTTTATTTTTTTTTTTTTTGTAAAAAATATATAATTTTTTTGTTGTTTAATATAATAGATATAATGACAAACCTCTTCTTCTTTCATATTATTTATGTCCTGAGATTTGTCTTTAAGCTCTTTCCTAGTCTTATATCCTCTGAATTGCGATTGTATTTTAATGGCCGCCTCTTCCTGTCTGTCGGCGTCGTCTTCTGAATAATCTTCTTCTGTGTAATAGTCTTATGAGATATCAAATCAAAATATAAAAAAATCAAACCAATTATGTTAAAAACAAATAATAATAAAAAATTGAAAAAATAATACTAAATGTAATTCAATACACTCTATATTCCAGTAATTTAATGCAAATATTTGATGACAATAAAATAAATTCAAACAATATTCAAATTGTTATTTGTAATAATAATAATAATAATTTTAGTAAAATTTATTTTTTATTATTATTTAGTATAATCAAATAAAACTAAATATGATGATCATATATATATATATATATATATATCTATGCGTAAATATATACGTAATTATATTTTAAGAAATCTCATAAATATTAAATTTTTTCATAAAATTAAAAATGCTTAAATATATACATATTGTATTATACTATATATGGTGATCGCATAAATATATTATATTTAACAAAAAATACTGTAGTTGTTGTTTTTTGAATGAGATATCACTATCAAGTAAGCAATAAAATGCAATGTTTTACGTCATAGCAAATAAATGATTGCATAAAGCTTAAGGAATTTATTATTTTTTAGAAAACAACCTTTGATTTTATTATTATTATTATAATTATTAATTTAAATATATAAACAATCAGTTATCGGAAAAAACATTAAATTTATTTAGGTATATATTAAATATATATCGTATATTCACAGAATATTGATATTATAATTATATATATATTATATACAATATGTAAATGAAAACAAAATTAAATACACAATTTCAACAATAAGGCCCTAAGTATTAGAAATATGTAATCCTTTATTTAACTACAATTAATGGATAGTCACTCACTTATAAACACCAGTCAGTGGTTTATATTTATAGTAATAATTCATTTCAATCGATAAAAGTCATGACAAAACAGTTAGTTGACGTTATCAGTGATTTATACTATAATAATAATAATAATACTTACAATAGCATTATAATGTCTATAAGTATAAACAATAGTGATATACACATTAAATCTATCAATAATATCAGTTTAAAAATTTAAAATTGTTATTTTCTGACAATATTGTAAATTCATTATACACTATATAATAAATATAATACAGTATATAATATATAAATATTTTAAACATATTTTTGTATAGTATTCATTTTACAGATTAATATATACAGTATATATAAAAAATTTAAAATTCTATAACAATAATAATTTATGATATTTATAATTATATAAAAGCTTTTCATTATTTTTACGCTTTTTATTCATTGTTTTTTCAATAATTTATATGAAATAGTCATACATATCATACACATATCATAAATGTTATATTACTTGAACCTTTAAAAACAGTATAGTAAGCAATAAATGTAACGTAACATACAATATATGATTACAGTTATTATAAAATATCTTTTTTTTATATAAATATAAATAAAGTAATTTTAAAAAGCAATTTATTTTCAGATTTACGGCTAATATATTTTTAGATAAATGACAATAAAAATATTTAAAAAATTTATTATTATAATAGATAGAAACAACTTAGAAAACTTAGACATTTTCTTGTTGTAAATTAACAATTAAATATTTTAAACAATATTATTCAAGAATATTCTTAATTTTGAAATTTATAAAAATTATTTAATAATACTGAAAATAAAAAATTATTATTATAATTAACAAATTATCTATTATAATAATAAATATAGATATAATAATTAATGTAATTATTTTAATTAAAGGCATTATATCTGTACACAATATGTCTGTTTTTTATACAGAAGGCATTAACAAATTATTATCAAAAATCATTTATTGTTAACTATCAGTGAGACTTATTTACCTTTAAATACTTCATGTATATACTATATATATATATAATAGAAATTTTAGATTAATATATTATATGATACACTAAAAGCATATTTTTGTTGTACAATACACTACTATATAAAATACATTGAGTTTTGTGATTAATGATTGAATTTCGTGAGAAAAGATTTCTTCAACTAATGCATTGTATTTCTATATAAAAGTTAACTTATTATAGTTAATAAATATAAATATATATTTATGATATAAAAATATGTAATTGTATATTTTTTTAAATAATAATGTTTAATTTAGAATCTAATCGTTAAATTATTATAAAATTATAATCAAAAAATAATATTAATAATATTTTTTATTAAAGTTTAATACATATAATTTGTGTATCTATTTTGTATAAATTGTATTTTAATCTCATTATATCATATTACTATCTATAATGTAATTATTGCACATTATCTAAAACAATGCTACACTAATTATTTAAGTTTAATCTTGAATTAATTACTAATCTCTCATTTGTTGTTTTCAATAACATTAATATGTTTTTTCTATTCAAGTTAAAAAATAATCTTAATTGTTATTATTTGTTAAATATATCTTTAATTTATTGTTTTAGTTTAATCTTTATGATTGTTATAAGATTATTGATAGTGTAAATAAATAAGCAATTCATTTATAATTACTATACAATATTATGATTTAAAAATGAGTATATGTTTGATGTAAACTTATATAAATCAAATATTAGTAATATTTGATTTATATAAGTTTACATTAAATATATATATTATATTACATATCAGTCAATTAGATAATTAAAATATCTTATTTTTTGCTCTTATTTTTACGATAAATATATCGATTAAAGTAATTTTCATGTATTAACTAATGAATAATAAAAATTGTGATTTATAAAATGTTGACATTTAATAAATAAATAAATATGTTTTTATATCGCCAAACATTTTATGTACATATAATATGAGATTATTAAATTAAATAATTGTGTAAATATGAGTATAAAATTTCATGAAACATCAGTTTGCCATTTAGACAAATTGACAATTTATGGCAGATATTTTTGGCAACTATTATATAAATTAATATTTGTCGTTAACTTAACTAAACAAAACTAACGACAATATCAATAATATTTGTTTATAAAATTATAATAGATTTATATTTATTAATATTTCACTGTTTAAAAAATTGATATATTCTTAGAATTTCAAATATTTATGAATAAAATAGTTTATTAATTTTTAAAAAATAAAAATAAATATATACTATATTAAACAATTTGATACAATAGACTAAATGGTTTATAACAAAAATTTGTAGTAACTTGTATTCAATTATTGATCTATCAATATATATATATTTTTACATACAAAATAATGTATTTATACTAAGTATCGATTTTTATGTTAATATAATATATTATGATTTACTTATAGCTTATTTGCAGGAAATACCTTTTCCTATAATGAATAATACAAAATCATACAATGTTTGAACTATACTTTAGGCAATAGCTTTAGTTTATTATAACAATTGCAACATTTAGTACACTGTCTTTTTTATAGTATATTGTATTATTATTATAGATTTATACTTAAAAAACTAATGGAGAATTATAAGATAAATTGGTCTATAATTTAACGCAAGATTTTTTTCATATATACATTATATAAATATATAAATTTGTGTTTTAGTGTCTCCAATAAAGTTGTATCTAAATTACAGCGGATCTCATATGATTCGTACCCTAATTTGATAGCATTTAATTTATAATTATATATCGATTTTTATATAGAGTAATAATAATAATAATGTATTATTTTTGAATAATTTTCATCATAAATATAAATAAAACTAAAACACAATCATATATTTATATAATGAAATGAGAAAATTGCTATTTGTTTCACTTAAAGTACACAACTATTTGAACCACAAAACAAAAAACTAAATGAACATCGATTATAACGACAGAATACGACACAATTGTAATAAAATGTTTGTTACAACAAATTATTTGTTAAAATGTATTATTTTTTTTGTAGAAAAAAAAACATTTGTAACACTAATAACATACAGTAAATGCTAAACAAATAACGAGTAATTTACACGAAACCATTATTTTATTCATATCAGTAATGATTTAGTTTTAAAAAATTGTTTTATATCATTTGAAAAAATAACTTAAATTTTGTATTAAAAAACTAAAACTAAAAAATATGTTCAATGGCCATTTTATATTATAATAATAATAATAGTATTGTAGTATTGAAAAAATCTAGTATGAGTTAATAAAAATACCCAATTGTTAACTTAGGCTAAATTGTGCTCAAAGTTTACAAATTATAAAATTATCAAAAGTTTATATTAAAAAAATCAGAAAATAATTTTTGTTTATAATCTATAATACTCTTGTCTCCGATAATAATGTAAAAAAATGTTGAAAACTTACTTAAAAAAAATAAAATCCATTCATATATCATGCAATATCAATATATTATGCAATACAGCAGCAAATTCACATAAATTATTATTAGGGTATTGATTTTCATATATTATAAAATAACCATTTTGTTGTTGTTTTATCTCTAATAAATAGTTATTTAAATAAAAATTTATTTAAGTAAATATACAATAATTATTTTTTATTAAATTATATCTGTACATTTTTTAAACACTAAATACATATTAAAATATTTTATATAGAACTAAAAATTGCATTTTTAATAAAAAACACATTTTAAGTAATTGATTCATCAGTAATATAATATTTTCAATCATAATGTAAAATAAATCATTAATAAATTATGGATTAATGATAACTGTATTATTATTATAAAAAGTTTAGCTAAATTTATCCAATAATATTATAAACAAAACAAATAAAGTAGATTTTATTTTATATTTCAATCTATCTAATATAAAATTATAGGACATAACTAAAAATAAAAAATTATTTTAATAATTATAATTTTTTTAAAATAAAAAATTATTAATAATTATTTAAAGAGCTTATCCAAAATAAAAAGTCATTTGTTATTTGTGTTTATAATTTATATATAAGTTTTACAGTATTTTTTATATGATAAGTTATATCAAATAAATTTCAATTTTGTATTATACGGTAATTTATTTTTATAGTACACTATATTCAATATATCTGATACTTGTTTT